TGCATTTACCACATGTATATCTGTTGCAGTGAACACATCGCACAGTGGCACGATTGCTCTTGCAGTTGTGTTTGACCTGACATGTGGCTCTTTTTCCAGGGCTCAGTGTGGAGGGTTGCATGATGTCTTGGAAGCGGTTTCGTGCCATAGTTCCAATTCCAAGCTCTCTTTTTCAGTGGAGAAGCAGTCTCCTCATCTCCAGTGTGAACAAATTCAAATTGTGAGCAATGGGAAGGTCAAAGGCTGAGTTTGTTTACTCCCAGACCCAAACTGTCGATGTAAGACAAATGTGTTGACCACTACAACATGAAGCAATCCTGATTTTCTTTAAGATAATGCTTGCCTTGCTGATTGAAAGCAACAGGTTTGTCAATGCAGAGCAATAGTAACCTGTTGTTAAGAAAGCATCTCACTGTTTGTGCTTATGTGTGTGGAATGTGTGTCTTTGTTCAGGGAAGAGGGTGCATCCGAGAATGCGGAGCCTGTCCAGATTTTCTGGGAAGCTGACGAGAAATCAATTCACCAGATTGATGATGGAAATTCCACCAAGAGCTTCAGCTTTGGTCTGTATTCCAACATACAGAAAAAATCAGCGATTTATTTTGGTTTTGTTTCACAGTAATGGGAATGCGAACACTAACCTTTCTCTGTTAACAGACCGAGTGTTTGCCGCTCATGAAACGACCAGTCAGCTGTACAATGGCATTGCAAAGCCTCTGGTTGTTCACACTGTCGAGGGATACAATGGTATGTGCAGGAAACGATGTTTGATCCCTCGTTGGGCGGCATGGTTTCTTCTCTTACTTTCTGTGTTTGCTGTACAGGAACCATATTTGCTTACGGGCAAACTTCTTCTGGAAAGACCTTCACCATGATGGGGACCAGTCGCACCCCCGGAGTGATACCTCAAGCTGTGGAGGATGTCTTTCAAAGCATCAAGAATGTAAGAATGGTGATTCATGTTTGCAATTTGTTGCGGTTGGTATCAGTCTCTTTTCATCCTAAAGGGTCACTTCTCTTTCAACCCAAGTTTCCCGAGAAGGAGTTCCTTCTCAGAGTGTCCTACATGGAGATCTACAACGAGACTGTGACGGACCTGCTTGTCGACAGCTGGAAAAGAAAACCTCTAGAAGTCAGAGAACAAATCAATGTAGGTTGATCATTTAGATGACTAGATTCAGAACGCTACTTAGAGGTTTGGTTCTCAGCATTTCTGTGTTAATTCCAAATCGCTAGCAGTGACGTGTCTCAGACTCTAGGAGTGCTGTAATGCTATGAAGTGTAGTGTGCTGTTTTACATGAGCTTTGGATGTTAATGATTACTGTTTGCAGAAAAACATCTATGTGGCTGATTTGACTGAAGAGTTGGTTACATCCTCTGCACAAGTCCTAGCATGGATTCGGAAAGGAGAA